GATTGGGGGCATCCACTCGGGCCAAAGAAACTCGAGCTGACACAGAGCAAGAGACCTCTCTAGATGTTGTTTCACCTGTGGTGGGGCCAGCTCTACTTTGGGCCCTGGGCTTGGCCCGCTGCCCCCCTGCTCGCAGCGCCGTGGGGGCCAAGATGGGGGGAGACTCGGGAGGGCTGGTCCTGTCTGGGGTCGGGCAGCTGTGAGCTGCCCTCGAGTGTGCACAAGCGTGCCGGAGTCCCGGGCTGTGGCTCTCCGTACCCGAAGGGTCCGTACACCCAGTGGAGGTCAGGCCTAGGGAAGTCGTCCCCGCGTGCCCACCGGCAGGAAGCCAATCCCGTCTGCGCCCCCCGCCCCCAAGGCCCGGGGCCTCTGTATCGAGGTACGAGGATACGAGGCCTGCTCGTGTTCTGGGGCCCCAGCTGCACCCCTCATGGCAGCTCCAGGGCTCGGAGGGGGTGTGGGGGTGGAGGTGGGGGTCTGTGTGGGGAGGATGGAGGTGCCTTGTCCCGGGACCAACTTGTGCAATCCACGAGGGCCTGCAAAGCCACACGTGTGCGCGCGCACACACACACACACACCCCAGGAAGCCTGGAGGGCAAGGACAGGCCTGGTGGGCTGGGGTGGGTGAGTGTGCTCAGAGGCCCCTACTTCGGGCTCCCCCTACCCACCCGAGGTCACAGTGGGTCGCACGGCTGGATCCCAACACGGAGCATTTATTTCATGCCGAGAGCAGAAGAGGGCAGTGCGGGGCAGTGACACAGGCCTTGGCCGGGGAGGAGCTGCGTCCACCTTCAACGGCTGCTCGGATGGGGGGACCAGTCTGATGGGGGAGACAGAGCCTCGGATGAAGGATGGGGGACAGACTGGGGGCAGAGCTGGGGAGGAGCAAGACGCACAAGAGAGAGCTGGCAGCTTCCGGGGAGGGGAGAGGAATTGGGGCTGAGGGAGAAACGGGCTGGGGTGGGGGAGGCCGGCCAGGGACCGAGGGACGTGCCCTCCAGGGCGCCACCCTGCCCCCACCTGGGCCCCCAGACTCCCCGAAGACACGCAAGGGGGCGCTCAAGCGCTCGTGCTTGTGAGCACGGTGTCCAGTGTGCGTGCACCTCTGTGCACACGTGTGCGTGCGTGGGTGTCTAAGTGGTTAC